AAAAAAAAAAAAAAAAAGCCAAGTAAGAATCATACAACAGGAAAACTGTTCCTCAAATAACCTGGATGATGGGGAAGGCAATGTACAAGAGGGAGGTTGGCACAGGAAAGATAAAGATAATGGAAGACACAGTGAAGAGTACAAGAGCTAGGCAACAGAGGTAAATATTGTTAACTGATGGTACATGGAAGGGATTGCAATCATGATAATGACATGTAGTGTATGATTTACTAAATGTGGAACTAATGATCTATTTTACAGACCTTCACTCAATTCACAAGAAAACATTTTTTGAAAAAAATGAATATGCTGTAAGTTAAGAAATTTAGATTTGTACCCAGATTTTGTCACTTAGCATCTACAAAGACTTTTAATCATTGGTTTTCAAACTTCAACATTCATCAGAATCACCTAGAGAGTCCTAACCTCTGAGTTTCTGAGGTGGTAAATACTGTCTGTAATAGGATAATTTCGATATTCCTACAAGCAATACCAGTTAATACCACTGTTATTCAAATTTATGCACAAACCACAAAAACCAGTGTTGAGGAAATGGAATTCTACCAATTTATTCTGTTTGAAATTGATCAAATATGCAATTAAGATGCATTGATAATTACTGGTGATTGGAATATGAAAGTTGAAAACAAAGAGGAGGGATCAGTAGTTGGAAAATATGGTCTTGGTGATAGAAACTATGCTGGAGACCACATGATAGAATTTTGCAAGACCAATGACTTCTTCATTGCAAATACTTTTTTCAAACAACATAAAAGATGACTATACACCTGGACCTCATCAAATGGACTACACAGGAATCAAGTTGACGGCATCTGTGGGAAGAAACAATGGAAAAGCTCCATATCATCAAACAAAACAAGGCCAGGGGCAGACTGTGGAACAGACCATCAATTGTTCATATGCAAGTTCAGGTTTAAGCTGAAGAAAATTAAAACAGGTCCATGAAAGCCAAAATATGACCTTGAATATATCCCATCTGAATTTAGGGACCTTCTCAAGAGCAGATTTAATGCATTGGACACTAATGATCAAAGACCAGAAGAGTTGTGGAATGACATCAAGAACATCATACAGGAAGAAAGCAAAAGGTCATTAAAAAGGGAGAAAAGAAAGAAAATACCAAAATGGACATCAAAAGATACTCTGAAACTTGCTTTTGAATGTAGAGAAGCTAAAGCAAATAGAAGAAATAATGCAGTTAAAGATCCGAATAGAACATTTGAAAGGGTAGATCGAGAAGACAAGTTCAAGTATCACAAAGAAATGTGCAAAGACCTGGAGTTAGAAAACAGAAAGGGAAGAGCATGCTAAGCAGAGCATCCAAGTTGCACTGAAAGTATTGGCTAAAAACAAGCTCCAAGAATTGAGGGAGTACAAATTGAAATGTTTAAGCAAACTAATGCAGCCCTGGAGTCATTCACTGACCAACAGACTGGAAGGGATCCACATTTGTGCCCATTCTAAAGAGAAGTAATCCTACGGTATGTGGAAATCATTGAGCCAGATCATTAATATGACATGCAAGTAAAATTTTGCTGAATATTATTTTAAAAAATAGTTGCAACAGTACATCAACAGGGAACTGCCAGAAATCCAAACCAGTTTCAGAAGAGGACATGGAACTAAGGATATCACAGCTAACATCAAGTGGATCTTGGCTAAAAGCAGAGAATCCCAGAAAGGTGTTTACTTTATTGACGTTGTAAAGCCTTTCAATTGCCTGGTTCATTGCAAACTATGGATAACATTGCTAAGAATGGGTATTCCATAAGGCTTCATGGTACTCCTGAGAAACCTATACATTGACAAAGAAGCAGTCATTTGAACAGAAAAAGGTAGTACCAAATGATTTAAAATCAGGAAAGGTGTGTATAGGGGTCCTTTCAACATACTTAGTCAATCTGCATATGCTAATCAAACAATCTATGAAATATGAAGAAGAATGTGGCATCAAGACTGTAGAAGACTCAATTAAGAAACTGATATGCAGATGACACAACCTTGCTTGCTGGATGTGAAGAGGACTTAAAACACTTACTAATGAAGATCAAAGACTACACTCTTCAGTATGTATTGTACTTAAATGCAAACAAAGATTCTCACAACTGAACCAATAAATAAAATACCATTATGATAAATGGAGAGAAGATTGATGTTGTCAAAGACTTCATTTTGTCTGGGTCCACAATCAACACTCTTGGAAGCAGCAGTCAAGCAATCAAACAATATATTATTGCATTAGAGAAATCTGATGCAAAAGATCTCTTTAATGTGATAAAAAGCGAAGAGAAAATTTTGAGGACTAAAATGCACCTGATTCAAGCTATTGTATTTTCAGTCACCTCATATGCAAGTGAAAGTTGCACAATGGATAAGGAAGACTATAGAAAAACCAATGCAGTTGAATTATGATGTTAGAGAAGAATATTGAAAGTACCATGGACTGCTAGAAGAACAAACAAATCTGTGTTGGAAGAACTATAGCCAGAATGTCCCTTAGAAGCAAGGATGGCAAGTCTTTGTCTTTTATACTTCAGACATGGAGAAAGATACCATGTTTGGCCAAGTGGAGAGTCTGTGAAAATGAAGAAGACTCCCAATAAGATGGATTGACCCAGTGGTAGCAACAATGGGCTCAAACATAACAACAATTATGAGGATGATGCAGGACCATGCAGTGTTGCATTCTGTTGTGCATAAGATTGCTATGAGTCAGTATTGACTTGATGGCATCTGATGTGGCGCTGTGGGTTAATATGCCAGACTGCAAAGCCGTTTGAACTGCAAGGTCGGTGGTTCAAGCTCACCAACTGCTCCTCGGAAACCCTGTACAGGGTAGCTATGGGTCAGAACTGACTCATTGCCACTTAACAACAACAGCAACAACGAAAGCTGCTGGTCTGGACACCAACTTTGACAAGCACTGCTTTATACAAGTTGTTTAACTACTCTGAACCCCACTGTTGTTACTGATGTTCACCAAATATCCTTGCTTTTCCAGGCAAACAGTAGACTTGCATATCCAGCCTTATGTGGTTATGTGAGGTAATGGAGTCATTTCTGGTCAATAGACTGTTAGTGGAATTAATGTGCATCACTTTTGAGTTAGAAAATTCAATTGCCTATTTGAGGCTTCTAAGTGCTTTATTTCCCTTTGGCTCAGCAATGAACATATTCAAGGTAATGGCTGATTCATTCATCTGGGTTCCCCAAGAGACTACTGAAATACAACCCCTCTATGAATCTGACATGGATATGTCTATCATGAAGAATAAATAAAAGTTTATTGTTTCAAGCCACAAAGATTGTAGGAATGTTTGCTTCCCATCAACCTAACCAGTTCTAACTAATGCACCTCCCTTACCCATTTGTACTCTCAGTGCCGAGTTGACTTACATGTGGTAGCCTTTGCACCAACAATCTTCATTGGCCCATGTAACAATGATGATGGAGGCTTAAGGAGCTTCAGAAAATTTCTCAAGTTCTTTTTCTCATTGGAATCTCTATAGCCCATCTGAAGAAGCAGTTCATATTCCTGCACTGGGCCTAGAGAGAGAAAAATAGTCAGAATCCTCTTGTCTCTGTCTGTGAGGGAGCAATTGTGGAGGAAGTGACTGGGAAGTAACCAGGATGCTTGTTCTGGAGGTCATGGGTTATACAAACTGTCGTTACTGACCTCTACTTACAGAGAAACTAACAACTAAATTCCATAGCATGAACATGAGACACTTCCACCTGTGTCTTTCCCCTCATTCCTACCAGTCCAGCTGCCCCCAATGCTCCTGTTCCCACCCTCAGTATTACTCAGATTTTACATTTTGTCCGGGAACATCCAGAGAGGATCCCCCCTGTCAAGACTAAAGGGAACACCAAAGTAGACGTACAAATGATCAAGAAGCATGTGAAAAGACATCCATCAATTCCAGTCATTCTGCCACCACCACCAGCTGCCATCATTAGGGGAAATTCTACTTTGAGGAGGCATCTCTTCCCTAATTGTATTCTGAGTGCCTTCCAACCTGAGGGGCTTGTTTTCTGGCACTATACCTGACAATGTTCCACTGCTATTCATCAGGTGTTCAGTGGTTCACTATATTGTTGTTAAGTGCTGTTGAGTCAGTTCCAATCCATAGCCACCCTATATAGGGTTTCTCAGGAACAATTGGTGAGTTTGAATTGCCAACCTTGCAGTTCAAACTAAATTTGCAGTCCAGTGTATTAACCCATAGCGCCACACTAGGATGCCAGCCACTAACTTGTTGTTAAGTACTGTGGAGTCGGTTCTGACTCACGGTGACCCTGCACAGGGTTTTCAAAGCTGTAAATTTTTATGGGAGCAGAAAGCCTTATGTTTCTCCCATGGAATAGCTGGTAGTTTCGAACTTCAGACCTTGAGGTTAGCAGCCCGATTCGTAACCACTATGCTACCAGAGCTCCTCCAGTCACTATGTTGTTGTTGTTGTTATGTGCCGTCGAGTCAGTACTAACCCATAGTGAGTTAATGCACAGCAGAATGAAACACTGCCCAATGGGCCAACCTCACTACTGTTGCCACGCTTGAGTCCATTGATGCTGCCACTTGGCCAATCCATCTCCTTGGGGGTCTTCCTCTTTTTCTCTGACCCTCCATCTTACCAAACATGATATCCTTCTCCAGCAACTGGTTCCTCCTGACAATATGTCCAAAGTATGAGAGACGAAGTTTGGCCATCTTGGCTTCCAAGGAGCATTCTGACTGCACTTCTTCCAAAATGGATCTATTGGTTCTTTTGGCAGCCCATGCACTTTCAATATTCTCCTCCAACACCATAATTCACATACATCAATTCTTCTATGGTCTTCCTTATTCACTGTTCAGCTTTCACATCCATATGAGATTATTGAAAATACCATGGCTTGGGCCAGGCACACCTTAGTCCTCAAGCTGACATCTTTGCTCTTCAATACTTTAAAAAGGTCTTGTGCAGCAGATTTGCCTAATGCAATACGTCATTTGATTTATTCAATGCTACTTCCGTGAGTGTTGACAGTTGATCCAAGAAGAATGAAGTCCTTGACAATTTCAATCTTTTCTCCATTCTATTTCTAGTTATATACTCAAAAGACTCTAAAATAAGTGTTCTAACAAAAACTTGTAGAAGAATGTTTCCATTGCAGTGTTATTCATAGTAGCCAGAAAGTAGAAAGAGCCCAAATGTCCATGAACTAATGAATGAATAAACAGAATTTATTTATCCATAACAATGGAATATTATTCAGGTATAAAAATAAATGAAGTATTGAGACACAATCAACATGCATGGATTTCAAAAGAAGCTAAGTGGAAAAGTCAGGTGTAATAGGCCACCTATTGGATGATTCCATTTAAGTAAAATATTCAGATTAGAGAAACACATGAAGGCATAAAGCAGATTGGTGATTTCCAGGGGTTGGGGGAAAGAGTAAATAGGGAGAGAGTGTTTAATAGGTATGGAGTTTCCTCTTGGAGCAATGAAAATGTTCTGAAACTAAGTATAGGTAATAGTTGCACACCATTGTAACTGTACAGAATGCCACTAAATTATACACTTTCAAATGGTTAAAGTGGCAAATTTTAAGTTATGTAAATATTATTACAATTGTTTAAAAAAAAAAAAAACTGAAGGGAGAAGTAAGAAAGTCCTAGTCACTTTTCCCTCTTCCTCAGTTCTAGTCTCCTTGAAATATCTCCAATATAAAATCCTTAGTTTGACTCTCTTTTATCCAAAACAATTCTTCCTTTTGCTGTAAAAAATATTTTATTAATTAACTGAGCTTGAGTATTCCCATGAAATACAAAATCAAAAGAAAACTAATCTTCCTTCAGCCCTTGGGAGCTGTCACTCTCACCATCAGCATTTCTGAGAGTGTTTTCTTTCCCTAGAGAAAAGTTTCTTATTGTTTTAGGCTGGGAGAGAAGAGGGATGCTGGGAGTCTTCCCCCACTCCACATTCATTTGGACGCATTCACATGAAACTTCAATAAAATTCCAGGGGGATCCAAGATCCTCTGAAGCTCATGTAGGGATGCCAGATAAAGAATGATAAATAATTTAAAGAAAACGAGAAAATGGGTGAGCATTTTTTTAAATCCTAGGTCTCTTTAACATCTTTTAGACTCTCAGGACAGCACAATACTGTCTTCAGGGAAATATTAGATGGGGATCATCTATGAGACGGTCCCATTTCCTAAGAACCCTGAAGAGCAAGGCAGACGTTAGTTTTATACCGAAGTATAGCAGATGGATCAAATCCAGGCTTCTCAGAAAAAAAGGAAATGGATAACAGGATGTGGACGGAGACAGAGAAAAATCTGAGGACATTTACAAAAGAGGTTTGTCTCCATAATGCCCCATCACACACTGCAGGGCCTCAGCATTATCCCTTATTCTCCCCCATCTCTTTCTAGGCTGGAACTCCTACCCTGTCCAAGGCCTTGGGAGTTGTCCCAAGAGTTAGGAAGCCAAAAGGATTCCCACTTCTCCTGCCCACCCAGGTGAGAGGTAGGGGAAGAGGGGACGAATGACATTGTCAGGCTTGGTGGCATTGATTTCGGAGCCCGATTGACTAGGTTTGAATCTTGGCTCTTGCCCCTAGCTCTGTGCCTTAATTTCACTGTCTATAAAAAAAAAAGGATTACTGCACCTAACTCAGAGTGTCAATGTGAGGATTTAATTTATCTAATGGACTTAACATAGCGCCTGGCACAAAGTAACAGCTCAGTAAATACTTGCCATAGTCGTACTGTCATTTTTTTTTTTTTTTGGCCAGAAAAGCTATATTTGCAGCATTCCAAGTTAAAATATCCATCTTATTTTCTCAAGGAATTGTGGTAGCATATGGGTATAGATTCTATGGTACAATGAACACATTGATGTGTAGCCAATTCATCCAGTGGTATAAAAACTTTGGTGGACTGACCAAGGATCTAACAACCAGTTCTGTGCATCACTGTATCCATGAAGAAACAATCTGGTGTTTGAAATATCAGACAGATGCACACATTTAATTTTGTAACTGTGACCCAGTAATTACTTGAGATAACTTCTAGTCATGGTCTTTGTAACTCCCACCAAATATCTGGGTGGGACCACGCATACATATTGAACTCTTAACATGGGAATTGGTCAGTTTGACCATCCTCCCACTAGTTTAAAGTGAGCTACATGGTGTTCAGGATAATGCTCAGGACTACAAGGTCGGGTTGAACAGCAAGGTCAGAGATTCATACCTACTAGACACTCCTTGGAAACCCTATGTGGGGCCACTATAGGTTGGAACCAACTGGACACCATTTAACAACAACAACATATTTGAAACAAATATGTTTCTTCACTACCATGAAGAAAGCCAGGAGAATGTTCTTTGGACCCATGATCCTTTCGAGCTGAACCTCGTCAATTCAGGAGACAGAGAGCTGCAATACAGGGAAAGTGGCAGCAGTGCGAGCCGAGAGTATTAAGACAGAGTAGTGGGCTTCTTTGGCCAAAGAGGCAGAAATACTGAGTACCTTTGGGCAGGAGATTTGTCTGCAGAATGAAGTGCCTTCAGTCACTTAAAGTAGGAGCCAGGTTTGCAAGCACACAGAGGGTAGTGCCTCAGGCTGGTCTTACTTAAGGCAGAGAGGAGTGCCTTTTGGGTATTTATGTTGTTGCTTTGTTAGTGCTGTAGAGTCAGCTATGACTTAGAGTGACGTTATGCACAACAGAACAAAATGCTACCTGGTTCTGTACCATCCTCACAATTTTTAAGTTTGAGCCCATTGGCACTGCCACTGAGTCAACTCATATTATTGGCCCTTCACTTTACCATGCATAATGTCCTTGTCCAGGGACTGGTCCTTCCTAACAACATGTCCAAAGTATGAGAAACAAAGTCTTAACATCCTGACTTCTAAGGAGTAGTCTGGCTGCACTTCTTCCAACACAGATTTTTCTTCTGGCAGCCCATGGTACTTTCAGTATTCTTCTCCAACACCAAAACACAAACATAACAGTTTTTCTAGTCTTCCTTATACATTGTCCAACTTTCACATGCATATGAGGTGACTGAAAATACCATGACATGGGTTAGGTGCACCTTAGTCCTCAAAGTGACACCTTTGCTCTTTAACACTTTATAGAGGTCTTTTGCAGCAGACCTGCCTCATGCAATACATCATTTGATTTCTTGATTGATGTTTCCATGAACACTGATTGTGGATCTGAGCAAAACGAAATCTGTGACAACTTCAATCTTTTCTCACTTTATCATGATGTTATTTAAAATGGTAGTGGCATAGCTTCCAGTAAGTATCACAGCAACACACAAGCTACCACAGTATGACAAACTGGCAGATGAGTGGTGTTTTGGAGTTGTGTGCCATGGAGTCAGTTCTGACTGATAGCGACCCTGTACAGGGTTTCCGAGGCTGTAAATCTTTGGGGGAGCAGAAAGCCTCATCTTTCTCCTGCAGAACAGCTGGTAGTTTCAAACTGCTGACCCTGAGGTTAGCAGCCTGATTCGCAACCACTACACTACCAGAGTTTCTTCTAGGCAGTGCTAAAATAGCTTTGTAACAATGCTGAAACAGAGCAAAGGCCTAGGGGCCATGTGCTTGAGAAGCCAAGGACCAGAGAAGGAGGCATGCAGGGCACAGATTGCAAGAGGTGCTCCTGACTAAAGCACTGTATATGAGAATATCTCATCCTGAGCTTTAACCTGTTAACTTCTCTAATGCACTCCATCGCCATGCATATTGTCTGTGACTTCTGTATGACCATTGCAATGACTTACTAAAGCCAGCAGAGAAGTAGAGAGTGCTGTGGGAAAGACAGTTATCAGAATTGGTAAAATTTGTAGGGTAGAGCCATGTCTGATAGGGATCAGCCTTGGGCTGATGTTGACTTTGATTCTCTTTCCCCCTTGTGAAGTCAGAAGAGGTCAGACAAAACCCCCCATGCCATTTTCACAATGACCCAATTCATTTTTAGGCTAAGGTAAGAGACAAAGTGTATGGAGGAGTTATTTGTTAGGCATGCAAGATAATACAACCATATTGTTGTGGTGGTGGTTGCTAAGGGATACCGAGTTGGTTCCAAACCATAATGACCCTGTATAGGGTTCCTGAGGAGTGGCTGGTGAGCTTGAACAGCTGACCTTGAGTCCAAACAGACTTTGCAGTCCAGCACATTAACTCACATAGTGTCTCACTATGATTTTAACACTCACATTAGATTATTTCATTCTCACAAGTGCCTTGATAATTGTCTTTGTTGTTGTTAAGTACTGTCTAGTTGGTTGCAACTCATAGTGACCCTGTGTAAGGTTTCTGAGGAGTAGCTGGTGAATTTAAAGGGCCCACCTTGCAGTTCAAACCGACCTTGAGGTCTGGTGCCACTCCAGGACAATTTTCATTTCCTCTTTTCAGTTCACAGATGTTGGGATCATTAAATACATGCCCCAAATCATACAACAGCAAGAAGCACTGCATGGTTTTGAACCCAGGTCTCTTGACCATGCTGTATAATGAAGTCTCACCTGGATGCCTTTTCTTATCCATAATGAGTTCTCTTTTTGTTCTGATGCCATCATTTCTCTGTTAAGAAAAAAAACAAAAGTAGTTATGATGAGTCTTTGGAGTTTGTACCTCATAAGGCCTATTTTAGTTTCCCAAATAATTGAAATTGTAAATCTGACATCCAAGCAAGGAAAGGCCTCAATGGGGCAACTTTTGAACAAAGACCTGAATGAAATGGAGGGATAAGATCCCTTAAGGAAGAGCTTTTAGGCAGAGGGAAAAGCAAGTACAAAAGGCCAGGGCTATGCATCTACTTTGCATGTGGAGGCAAAGTGAGGAGGCCAGTGCAGCTGGGAAAGAGCAGAAAGGGAGACATGAAAGGTGTCTGCAGGGAAGCAGGTTAGGTACATCTTTATAATCCATGGTAAGAACTTTGGCTTCAATTTGAGCGAGAGGGTAAACCATTAGATCGTTTTAAGCAGAGGAGAGGCACACTCTCATTTACTTTGCAGAAAATTCAGCTCTGTAACCATGCTGCAGATCAATAAGCACAGAAACAATGGGGCTCTCATAGTGACGTAATCATGTGGGTAGTAGTCATGGAGGGGGTGAGAATTAGTTAGATTCTGGGTATATTTTAAAGATAAAGCAAAAATAAAATGCTTATTTTTTCATGTTGTTGTTGTTGTTAAGTGCTAGCTGACACATAGTACTATATAGGATTTCCAAGGGGCAGCTGGTGGGTTTGAACTGCTAACCTGTGGTTGCTTATCCTACAGTGCCACACCAGGACTCCTATGTTTGGATACAGAATGTGAAAAGGAAGAAGAATCGAGTTTAACACCAAGCTTTTTGCTTAACCAGCTAGAAGGATAATAATGCCACAAGAGTTTGAGTTTGGACATATTAAGGGACGTTTTGGACATACAAGTGGAGATATTAAGTAGGTACTGGGTATATGAGTGTGGAGATCAGGGAAAAAATCTGAGATGGAGAGACAGTAAAATCTGAGAAAGCAGGAATCTGTTTAAGGTGGGAACCTGTCAGAGAACAACTCAAATAAATATTTCCTACTAATAGAGAGATTGAAAAGTGTCAAAGGCAGCAGATTTTCGAGACAAGAGAACAAGGCAGTCCCACTGAGTTTCAGCTTCCATAGGTTTCACTGTATAAATCTGGTTTCACTAAACCTGTTACCATTGATTCCTGCTCATAGCCACCCTATAGACAGAGTAGAACTGCCCCATAGTGTTTTCAAGGCTGTAATCTTTATAGAAGCAGACTGCCACATCTTTCTCCCATGGAGTGGCAGGTGAGTTTGAATTGACAATCTTTCAGTTAGCAGTCCAGTGCTTAATCAAGGTACTGCCAGAGCTCCTTTTCTCAGGCTGTTAAAACCATGAGTCGAGATGAAAGCATCAATGGAATGAAAAAGACAGAGGAAGGAGTGCCCAAAAATGTCAATCTATATGCGTTTTCAGCTACAAAAATGCCATTATTAGAGAATGTGTTGAACAGAAAAAGATCTTCAAGAAAGTTTAATCTGAAGTCTTCATTTTGTAGTTAGGTTATTTACATTCCAAAAGATAAAATGACTTTTCCAAAGTCACACAACTAAGGGTGAAACAAGAATACTGACAATGCTGAGACAAAACTTCTGATTCCAAGGACTTCTGGCTGCAAACCAGAAGTTAAACAATGTAACTTCACTACCTGGGGTAGGATGGTTTCTAAGAGTGCCAGGAGAAAGCAGAAGAGGTATAGAGAACAAAACAGACCTTGCTCCAACTCACCTCCAGGAGACCTTCGCACCCTTGTGTGATTGCGAAGAACCACATGAACCAGAACACTGGAACTTTCATCTTCAGCAGTTCCTCCCTTGTTCCCTGACATGAACATAAAGGTGAGTGAGCAATGGAATATAAGGCCAAGTCTCAAAAATAAGTAATGGAAGCCCCAAACTAAACATTCACACTGTGGTAGTACCTAATTGAGCAGATCAGAAGCCTTGAGTATGTAATCATTTTCCACTTCATATAGCCTGAAACACCATCACTTCTGCTTCCATTGCAGAGGGCAATACATTTTTGTACTAGAAAATTGTTCTTTAACCTTCCTATAAGCTATCGAGTTTGACTAAACAAAGACTATTTTTAAGTCGCTGTTTAATTTTGCAGTTAAATGCATTTAGCACTATACCTTTTGTATTTCACCAGTGTTTCCCTTTCATCTCAGTAAAGATGTGCATTAAAAGAATCAAAGAGCTTTAGAGTCAGTAATATTAGAATAGAAGGCATGTTTAAGAATAAGAAAAATCATAAACCAATCCAACACATTTCTCTTTTATGGCTGATGTAACTACCAACAAATTGTGCTCAATTTTAAAAGAATCTCAGAATAATTTGGGTAAAACTCAGTACATAATCATGGTTAGAAAATCATCATTTTTACCCAGGTTATTTGACATCAAAGATAAAGCAAAATGGGCAAAAACGGCTTTGTTTAATATGTTGTTGTTGTTGCTAATTGCTGTTGAGTCAGTTCCGACCCATAGTGACCCTGTATAGAGTTTCTGAGGAGCAGCTGGTGAGCTTGAACTGCAGACCTTGCAGTTCAAATGGCTTTGCAGTCTGGTGCATTAACCCCCAGCGCCACACCAGGACTCCTTACTCAGCATAGTAACCATTAACATGGCACTGAGATTCGAATCAATGGCACTAAGCAACAACAAAGTGTGGCACTGCAGGAGAATGCGCTGGACTGCAAGGTCAGTTTGAACTGCAAAGCCAGCAGTTCAAACCCACCAGCAGCTCCTGAGAAACCCTATAGAGAGGCACTATGGAGCAGAACCAACTCAACAACACTTAACAACAACAAATTCCTCTAGCTATTTTCATTTAAAATTTAATTAAAAATTTAAAAATTCGGTTTCTCCATCACACTAGTCACATATGGTTTGTTGTTGTTGTTAAGTGCAATCCAGTCAGTTCTGACTCATGGCAACCCTTACAGGGTTTCTGAAAGCAGCTAGTGGGTTTGAACTGCTGACCTTGGATATAGCAGTCCATTGCTGATCCTACAGCACAACACCAGTGGTTGTTGTTGTTGTTATGTGTTGTCGAGTCGGTTCTGACTCATCGCGACCCTGTACAGGGTTTCTGAGGCTGTAAATCTTTACGGTAGCAGAAAGCTTCATCTTTCTCCCATAGAACAGCTGGTAGTTTCGAACTGCTGACCTGGAGATTAGCAGCTTGATTCATAACCACTACACTACCAGAGCTACCAAATTGCACAGTACAGATAGAGTACATTTCCATCACTGTTGAAGGTATTATTGGGCAGCTTTGATAGAGCATGGAAGAATACTTTTCTATGGCCTCTTAAACTTCTATTTACATCTCCACAGAAAAGATATGGATCTCAAACTCAGTAAGGCACCTTTAGGTGAAGTGGCTTTAATTAGCAGTGCAGAGAACACAGGCAGGTTCTTCCATCCAGGTTTCCTTGGTGTACCTTAAACACTTCATCCATACACTCCCATCTCTGCCGGCACTGCCCCCTACATCTGCTTTCTGCTCTAAAAGAGAATAGAAAAGACACAAGAGACCCAGTAAGGACAACCACATGACCCACATTTCAGTAAAGATCTTACCTATTGCTTTTAAGGAAGACACCAAGCAATCTGCAATGTGACACATTCCAACTTTTGTATCTTCCTTCTCCCCTTAGATGAATAACTCTCTCATGCCCCCAACCTCCCACTTGCCAAAGACCCCTCCTAAACCTATTGATTTCTCTTCTTTAGGCAGTCACCAGACCCCCAAACCCACCCCAGATTATTCGTTAAATCTTGTTTCTTTTCAATCAAAATTTAACTATTCTGAGTCCCACTATCTCTGGCTTGTGCATTCTGCTTTCCAAAAGTGATGAATACATCTTTCAAACTTGCTTGACTTGGTCCCATAGTAAAAGATACACACACACACAAACACCACCGGACATTTTCTGTCATTTTTTAAAATTCATTTTTATTTCTTAATTGTCATGTTCCACTAAATTGATTCCATAACACTGTCATGCAGCACAAAACACACTGCAAAAGGTGCTAGTGCTGTTTCCTACCCCTGCCCCACTTTTCCTCCAGTTGCAGGGACGATTTTTAAATCTACATTCCTGGGTAGTATTTGTGCCCTGGCATGTGGTAGAGCAGCTTTCAGAGACCAACCCGCTCTCAGTGCATACCAGTGTCATCAGTTCCCTCTCTCTTTGCCAGGGCCTGCTTCCAAATGGGGAAAGGTCTGACTCTCATGTAGCTCTTTCTCTCAGGTTCTGTTTCTCTGAAAAATCTTCCTTCTCCCACACAGAGTCCAGGCCTGAGACAGCTAACATAATTCAAGAAGGTCTGGACATTGTGAGAAAACTTTCTCCCACAGTTTTGGGCTTTTTACTCCCTCTTCTTCCTGCGCTGGAGTGTATATCCCTTAACATGCTGAAAATGGTAACTTGGGACTTTTAGTCTGGCTTTCAGACCAATCATGAAAAGCTGGACTATGAGGAAGGAGAAGGAAGTGGAGGATGTGGAGAAAGAGTAATAGGAAGAGGAGGAGGAGAAAAGGAAACATTATAAGTTCTAAATTCTAATGAACATACAGGTGCTCTTCCTCTTATTCTAAGCCCACTGTATCTTAGACATCTTCATCTCATTCTAAGCCAACTGTATCTAAGACATCTTCATCTCATTCTGAGCCCACTGTACCTTAGACATCTTCATCTCATTCTGAGCCCACTGTATCTTAGACCTCTCCACAGGAAATGATGAAAAACTATGACTTATCAAACTTAATGACTCATCTGTAGAATCAGTATCCATGATGAGCAGTCCAGGCCAGGCATGTGTCTTACAAAGGTTATCCAAGTGATGCTAATGGTCACTTGGTTTGACAGCTGTCACAGTAGAATGCATAGAAAAATGTCTTATCTAGCTTAGTCCTGCAATGAAACGTCTACTTTGGCATTTCAGACCAAAGTACAAACGAATCTTTTTTTTTTTTTTTTTTTCTTTGCTTCCTTGGTGCGTATACCTCCCTCTGGAATAGAATTGGAAGATTTAGCAAACAAAAATATAAGACACTCTGTTGGTTTGAATGACAGCTAAGAAGCATTCTTTAAATTCATTTTAAAATACTTCAACACGAAATGCTTTGAACCAAAATTACTGATTGTTTGCTTGAATCTCAAATTTACCTAGGTGTCCTTCCTATATTTAACCCACTGCTTGGTGGTTTGAATCCACCAAGAGGCTTCAATCTTACAGATTAAAGTTATTAAAACTCTATGGAATTCAGGTCTACTCTGATATATACTGGGTGGCCATGAGTAAGAATGGACTCAACAGGATCAGGACCTGTATTAGACAATGAGTAGATGACTTAGAACAGGCTCCGTAGCTAGACTACCTAGCATTCAGGTTCTAGCTTTGACTTACCAGTGGGACACCCTTTGGATTTTCTCAAGTTTTCAATACCTCAGTTTACTCATCTCTAAAATGGGGATAAAAACATCCAGTTCATAGGTTCTTTTTAGGATGAAATGAGTGATCACATATAAAGTACAGTAGGACTCTGTCCGGCAGGTGGTTAAGTCTCCACTGTTGATGGCTTAGTAACGTTAGTAGAACTAACATTTCCATCCCACCATCAGTTTTTCAGTTACTTGCTGGATAATGTCAGAATTTGTCTCCAGCTCTAGGTCAAATGAACGAATGAGATAAAAGGCAACCCAGGGTTGATAGGCACCAATGTTTAAGTAGAAGTGTCCCAGCCTCAAGGTAATAAAAGTCCTTTTTCACAATGACTGACTTTTCTGGCTCAAAGGAGAATCCTCAGCAAGAAATAGTTTTTGTATGTGCACAACCTATTCCCCCAAAACCAAAACAAACAAACCAATGGTGATTGGGTGATCTCTGACTCATGGTGACCCCGTGAGTGTCAGAATAGAACTGTGCTTCATAAGATCCTTCAGTGACTGATCTTTTTGAAACAGAATACCAGGTCTTTCTCCCAAGGCCTGAGTGGGCCTGTATGGCTAACCTCTTAGTTGGCAACTGAGCCTATAAACTATTTGTACCTCCCAGGGAATCTTGTGTGTGTGGAAAATCATAGTAACTTCACCACTTAACTTTGCCTTCACAATAGATAAGCTCCATGGTGTCTTCAACACTCCCCTTCCAAGCCAAAAGGATTCTGGTGACAAAAAAAAAATTCTCAGAATACACATGCCCTTGCCACAGATGAGGAGCTGTTGATGCCATCAGCATGTTTACATCACACCTTGCTCTGTGGCAGCTGGGGGCCAGCCAGGCTTGACCCACAGCTGTGTTGGTGCTCACGTCCGTAGGAAAGGTTGGCCATGGTGGTAACCTCCCTCACTTCCTTGAATTCATTCAAGTGAGTTCATTTCTGATAATCCCTGTCCTTCAGTTTACAGTGAACAGTCATTAGAATTTACTATTACGCCTCTGGAGACAGCTGCTCATTGTCTTCCTATTCTTATTCTTCCAGCATATATTTATGGCCTCTAAATATCATTTATTTATGTCAACAGCTGTCTCCTTATCAACAGTGGTGCTCAGTAGGAACTGCTCACACCTACACTTTCCAACATTTTTAGCATCAATCTAATCTTAGGCACAGTTGAACTCGTCAGCTACTTGCCTAGCATCTATATTTATGGGAATATGTTTCTTCCACTATAAATAGAAGAAATCCCAAGAGAGCTGTCTCCCTCTACTCTGCTTGGACTCACATGCGTGTGCACGCACACACACAAAGCACAAAAAGAAAACCTCAAACCCATTGTCGTG